GCCGTGGGTCGAGGAGTGCTCTCTGGTGTCCGGATGAACCCTGTACAGAGGAAAGGCCTGGGGTCAGAGGGAACCTGCTGTTCCAGCATAGCTCAGCTCACCACCCGCGCAGCCCCTAGCCTGTGCCAGCAAAACAGATCCTAAGGAAAGATGCCCTGTCTGGCTCAACTCAGATTCCAAGATTAGGTTGCTTCTTGGGGGGCCCTGCTGGGTTTGACGGGTCACCCTGACCCCTAAGGACACTAGCCTAGCGCTGTGTCAGGCGCTTCTTCAAGTTACTCAGCAAACCCTGGTTGGCAGGCAGGAGCTGTGCCAGTCCGCTACTGCTGTCTGTCTCAAGATCTGTCTTCCCAGGAATCCCCAGGCTAGTGGGAAGACCCTGAAATCCAGGCACAGTAAGGTAGATGTCTGGACAGCTTACAGGAGCAAGGGGCTTACTGCTTCCTGCCCTCGGTTTTTGGTGAGGAAACAAAGGCCACAAAGATGGAAGTGAGCAATAGCTTCAGAATGCGTCCCAGTACAGTCAGGGCTACCCAGAGAAATCTGATCTCGAAAATTCAAAAAAAAAAAAAAAAAAAAAAAAAAAAAAAAAAAAAAAAAAAGTTGGCCAGATGGGCACGTGGTCCTTAGCTATATTTTAAAAGCAGGCTGTGCAAGCCAGGAGCAAACAAGCCAGTAAACAATGATCTCCATGGCCTTGCATCCAGGTTCCTGCCTTGTGTTCCTGACTTCCCTCAGTGATGGAGTGTAACCCGAAAGTTATGAGCAGAAATAAACCCTTTGGTACTTTTGATCATGGTGTTTTATCAAGGCAATAGAACCCCTAACTAAGACAGATGGATTGCTGGATGGATGATAGCTGGATGAATGGATGGATCAATGGATGGATAGATAATGACTACATGGATAATGGCTTTCTGGATGAATGGTGAGTGGCTGACGGATAGATGGATGGATGGATGGATGGATGGATGGATGATAGCTAGATGTTTGCTGGGTGGTTGGGTGGGTAGATGGATAGATGATGAATGGATGGATGGATTCATGACCAACTGGATAATGGGTGGGTGGATGAATTAATGTGGATGGATTCATGACCAACTGGATAATGGGTGGGTGGATGAATTAATGTGGATGGATTCATGACCAACTGGATAATGGGTGGGTGGATGAATTAATGTGGATGGATTCATGACCAACTGGATAATGGGTGGGTGGATGAATTAATGTTTGGATGAATGGGTGGGGAGATGAATTGACATTTGGATGGATGGCTAGATAGATGATGATAGATGGATTTATGAGTGAGTGGATGAATGGTGGGCTGATGGATGAGTGGATGATGGATAGGTATATTGATGGATGGGTGGGCAAGTAGGTAGATGGATGATGATGGGTGGATTGACAAATGGATGAGTGAATTGTGAGTGGGTGGGTGGCTGATGAGTTGATGGATGGATAGTGGATGAATGGGTGAGCTGATGGACAGACAAAATGGATTTCCTTCATCTCTCAGTATGCTAAAGATTTTACTATCCTAAGCCACTGTTCCTACCCAATGGAACAGCCCCCTCTACCCTTTCACAAGGCTCTATCCCAGGCAGCCATTCACAGCCTTGAATGGCCTTCAGAACACAGGGTTTACTCATGGCTCCCTCTGTGCTGAACTAAGAGGGACAAAATGGAACTATGGGAGGCCCCGCCCAAATGCTCCTCCCCCTTACTCACAGACATCCTCTGTGTTCCTCCTTGCTTGATACAGCTACACTCTTCTTGCCACACCCTGTCTGAGGCTGCAGCCCCCTGGGGTTGCCTCCCCACTGCCTGGAACCTGGCTGAAGGTTCTGTTAAACAAGATGCCTTGTACTTGCAGGTCAATTGACACTTGCTGGGTCTCCGGTCTCTGAAAGGTGTCAGTCACAGTGCTAGGTACAGGGGCTGCGTGTGGAAGCATTCTAGGTCCTTCTGGGGCCCCAGTCTGACCTGAGGGGTAGCAGGAACTCCTCCCACTGGGGAACACTTACTTTCCTTGGGCACAAAGGGGATCAGGTGGCTCTTCACTGTCACCTGAGCAGGGTGTATCTTACACTTCCCTGGAGGCGCCCGTCTGCCAAACACACACAGAAGATCAGGACTAGGAGTCAGCCTTGAGAGCCCCACCCTCATTCTCTATCCCCACCTTCACCCCATCACCTTCCCTTACAGCAAAGAGGGTAGGGGCCAGACAAGTGTGATCAGAGACAGCAGTAACTAGTGTCCAGCTACTGAACACCTCTTACCATGGGCCCAACAGCACCCGGCCCCTCCGAAGTCCCCCCCACATTGCCCACCCCACTCCTTTAATGCCCCATTCCTGCCCACCCCTTATACCCAAGTCCTTTGAGAAGAGTCTCTCTCCCTGCCTCTATTTTCTGAGTTTCTGGTGGTGCATAGGCCTGGAGAAATGTGAGATAGTTAAGGCAAGCTAAAAGACATAGTGGGCAGAAGAGGGGAGTCGTGGGAAGCTGGCTTCAGCGGGCCCAGCAGAGCCGTGGGGCCTGCAGTTCAGAGAAAAGAGTCTGAGGAAAGCTGCCAGGGTGTGAACAGCCTCCTTCCCCATCCTGAAGAAACACAAGGACCAGAATTCCATCTTAATTAGTTTTTGGCTGTTGATGTGTGATTCTTTGAATGGGTCCGACCCTGTTCCCAGACTGCCCCACGTGGGCCCAGGACTTCAATGGAGGTTCCGTCAGCCTGGGATTGAAATGACCCCATGATGAAGTGGCCTCCTGATAGACTTGGCAGAGGAGGGGCCATGTGCCTCTGCAAGACACACAGACTTCTCAAAGCTGGAAGCACAGCCATCTCTACTCTGACCTCTCATTGGGTAAGAGGAGGAGGGTGTTGTCTCTTAAGAAAATTAAATTTTTTTAAAAAAAAAATCATTGTGTGCTACACTGCAAACCACCACAGTGCTTCTGTTCGGGCGGTGATCTGTGGCCCCTGGGGTCTTCCTCTCTTCCTCATCCACATGTCTGCTGCCACAAACACACTTCTTCCAAAAGAGGAAAATAAAAGAGAGGACTCCCACCCACTTCTGCCTGCCTCTAACTCCAAGACTTTGAGAGAAAAAAAAAAAAAAAGAAAGAAAGAAAAATGAATCCTCTCTCCTTACGCAGGGACCATGAACCAAGAAAGAGAGGGTGTTGCAAAATTAAAGGTCAGAAAGCAGGTAAGGTGACATCTGGCAGTATAAGTGACAGGTCCTTAGAGAACCATTCTTTCCCTCCCCCCAAGAAAATTAGATTTTATTTTATGTGTATGAGTGTTTTGCCGGCATGGAGGTCTGTGCGCCACATAAATGCAAAGCCTGCAGAGGGCGTCTGATCTCTGAAACTGGTTCCAGATGGCTGTGGGCCACCATGTGGGTGCTGAAAACCTAACGTAGGTCCTCCGGAAGAGCAGCCAGGGTTCTTAATCACTGAGCCATCTCTCCAGCCCCAGCTTTTTTAAAAAAATGAAAATAACCTCAGAGTCCAAGAACTATGGAAGACGATGATGGCTCAGTGACTCAGCAGACAATGACCAGCAGGATCCTTTTGGGAGTGATGATGCCATGTGGACAGCGCCACGCCTCAGGGACAAGCAATGAGATGAGCACAAGGATGATTGTGGTCCAAGTATGAAGCCACTGAGATGAAAGTGGATGGGACCTTGCGGAAAGCAAGATGGAGGCATGTAGAAGAGGGAGCATGCTTACGGCTTTCGAGTAAAGAAGTCTCGTCATAAGTTGAGTGGTGGCCACCCACAGCTTTAATTCCAGAACATGGGAGATAGAGAAAGGCGGGTCTCTGTGAGTTCGAGGCCAGCCTGGTTTACATAGTGTTCTGGGACACACAGAGTTACATAATAGAGAAAACCTGTATCACGGAGAGAGAGAGGGAGAGAGAGAGAGAGAGAGAGAGAGAGAGAGAGAGAGAGAGAGCTCATCCAGGGGCCTGGGAGATGACTCGGTGGAAGCCCTTGTCACACAGAGTGAGGTCTGAAGTTGGGAACCCAGAACTCATGTAAATACAAGGTGGGCAAAACAAATTGTTTGTAACCCCGAGTAGAGACTGGGCATCCCTGAAGCAAGCTGGCTAGCCAAACTACCAAATTATGGACTCTGGGTTCAAGAGAAAGACCCAGCCTCAATATGTAAGGTGGAGAGCAAAAGAGGGAGACACCCAACCTTTTTGACCCGTGGTCTCCACCATGCACACTCACACATGGACACCCACACACATGCAAACACCCCTATACCCATCACCACACACACACACACACACACACACACACACACACACATGCAAACACCCCTATACCCATCACCACACACACATGCACCACACACACACACACACACACACACACACAAAAAATCACCTGTTCAAGAAAATGCCCTTCTAGAAGCCTCACATTTTGGAGACTTTAGAACATACCTAAAACCTACCCAAACATTAGGCTGGCACAATGGCCTCCCTGTCGCTGTTCACTTTCACCTCTTGAGAATGTGCATCACGCAATGTCCTTTCTGGCCACTGGCTGCTCTCACTCTGGGGTAGTGTTCTCCTCTGCAGTGACACCACTAGCTCCTGGAAGTGCCCCAAGCTGTTATGTAGTAAGCTTTGTCTTCTACACAGACAGTGACAGCAAAAATAAACTAGAGAGGGGCTGGAGAGATGGCTCAGCAGTTAGGAGCACTGACTGTTCTTGCAGAGGACCTGAGTTCAATTCCCAGTACCCACATGGCAGCTCAAAACTGTAACTCTAGTTCCAGGGGAATCCAAAATCCTCACATAGACATACATGTAGGCAAAATACCAATGCACATAAAGTAAAAATAAATAAATCATAATATTTTTTTAAAAATGAACAGAGAGCTAACTCAAGGCCTTGTGTATGCCAAATAAGCCTTCTATATTCCTAGTCTGTCCACCCCTAGATTCTCTCTCTCTCTCTCTCTCTCTCTCTCTCTCTCTCTCTCTCTCTCTCA